CGGTTGAAAGGTACCTCGTTTGCAAACGTGGTAACCAATCGAAGCCTATATGCATGTGAAGTAAATGGAATCATGGAATTGATCGAATTTTGTTTGATAAGAGATCATCAGTCTTGGAAATCAGAACTATGCTTTCTTAACATTATAGCTGTCAAATATGGTATCCCACAATTTTTTCTTTTTGTTTAAACCTACAGTGCCACATGATTTAATGGTTTTTGAACAATGGTTTGGTGCTTATTACAAAGTTTGAGTCTCATAATATTGATTGTGGTCCTCTTACGCATGTAAACAACTAAACTAGGTTGGTTATATGATTTTTATTTTCTTAGGTTTCAATGTTCTTTCAAAACAGTGATTGTTTGAGATCACTCATGCTTTGCATAGGAGAAAGGGACAATAGACCATGTGTTTTTGTCATTCTTATATTTAGACACTTAGACTGATTAGTGATTGTTGTTTTCCTATTGAGGCAGAGATGGAGATATATAAGACGAGCAGCGGGGCGAGATTTGGGTCGGTGAAATCTCACATTCCTTTCCTCTAATTTAGAAATTGTTGCTTGCAATAGAACATTGAAAAATTGTTCATTCGGTCTAGTAACAATCACTGATTGAATTTTTATTCTCATCGTTCTTTTTTGTAGGTATATATATCTCACCACTGAGAAAATGGAAAGCATATTTAGTCCCATCGCCAGAACCTCATATGTGTTGGTAGATCTTATTTACTTATAAGTTATAACCCCCTATGTTGTGGGCATACGGCATATTGATGGACAAAGACAATGCCTAAATGCGTTGATTTGCTTTGTTTTACACAGTGAATCGTTTACGTGAGCAACTTAACAGATACTGAGTGGAGATCTAACAAGCAATGGAAGAAGGTATTTGATCTATGAGATGTTGGAGAAGACTCAAGCAAAGTAGCCTTTTGTCGTTCATGGTCTTTTGCATATTTTTGTGTGTTTCCCCTCGAGACCTTAATGATTGAAGAACTTATAGGAAACTTGGTATTCCCAATGTTGAAGACATGATTTTCGGTTATGCAAGGATGTAGAGGGTCTTTCAGGTATGCAATGGGCGACTTCAATGGAGGAGA